GTTCCGGCCTCAGCCGTTCGGCGGCGACGAGCTGCCCGCCGCTGCCCATCACCACCACCATCACCACCACCACCACGTGCGCCTCGAGGAGCGCTTCTCCGACGACCAGCTCGTGAGCATGTCCGTGCGGGAGCTCAATCGGCAGCTGCGCGGCTTCAGCAAGGAGGAGGTGATCCGCCTCAAGCAGAAGAGGAGGACCCTCAAAAACAGGGGCTATGCCCAGTCGTGCCGCTTCAAGAGGGTCCAGCAGCGGCACGTCCTCGAGTCCGAGAAGAACCAGCTGCTGCAGCAAGTGGAGCACCTAAAGCAGGAGATCTCCAGGCTGGTCCGGGAGAGGGACGCCTACAAGGAAAAGTACGAGAAGCTGGTCAGCAACGGCTTCAGAGAAAACGGATCGAGCAGCGACAACCCCTCCTCTCCAGAGTTTTTCATGTGAGTGCCCACAGCCTTGCCACCTTACCTAAAAGTTCTCCGTGTGAGTTGTTGTTGGGGGCTTTGCTAGAGCGACAACCCAGCTTGCCACCTTGTATTGCCTTTTTTTTTTTTCCTAAAAAAAAAACTCAAAAACTCAAAACAATTTTAAAACAAAGTTGCTTTTTGGGTTTGTTTTTCTTTCTTTTTTTTTTTTAAGGTGGGCTGGCAGCTTGTTGGCCAACCTCAAGTTCTACATGAGTTTCTTTTCTGTTTATTATTATTATTGTTATTTTTTTGTGGGGGCTTGCTGTTTTTTTTTTTAAATTTAAACGATCCAACTCGCCACCAACTCGGTTCTTCATATGAAGCTTGCTCTTCTTTGAAACCTGCCATCCACATTATATATATATATTTTTAAGTTCATGAGTTTTTTTTTTTCTTTTGAGCTTGCTGTGTCCAAAAAAGTCAGATTTTTTTTTTTGCCATCCTGAGTTCTTCATATGAGATTTGAGCTTTGCAAAAAGAAAAAGAAATAAAAAACACAAAAAGAAAACAAAAAGAAAAAATACAAAAACAATGTGTAATTTTTAGACTCCAGCTTGCTGAGTTCCATCAGTTTTTAGCGTTGTTGTGCAAAACTAGAGGTATACCTAGATCAACCTGCCAAAATCAAGCCTGCATCAACCTTCGGTGTGTTCATGTGAGTTTTGGCCGTAATCTGCCAAACGTGAGACTTTAGTCTGCCATTAGAATCCCATACTCATCTCATGCATTACGCTTGCTATTTTGTCTTAGCAACAATGAACTATTAACTGTTTCAAAAGACTATGAAAAAGAGACATTATATTAATAAAAAACCCTGCATGCTGGTCATGTATGGTATAATTATTTTTTTTTTCTTTTGCTTGGAAATGGACTTTTGGAGACTATTATGGCATGGCATTCATCCTTTTGTTTTATTGCCTCATCACTTTTTTGAGTTGAAAGCAAAAAAGTGCAACCTTTGATCTTCCTCCTCCTCTTCCTCCCCATTAAAGTTTGCATCTGCTCTAAAACTGCTTTGAGTTACTCAAAACTTCAGACTTCCTTTTAAATGCACTGAAGCATTCCCTCTTAGAAAACATGCCAGAATGGATTTTGATAACCTAATGTGGCAAAAATTTCCAAAATGCAAAAAGAACTTTGGACAGATGTTCAAAAACAAAATTCACATCCCACTTGAGGGGGACATTGAAATCATGCTGTTGCCTAAAACAGTCTGAAAAATAAGTTTAAGTGATCTGCCCCATTTTTTTTTTCCTTTTGCATTTGGTCATTGTCAAATGTGGAATGCTCTGGGTTCCTAGTATATAATTTAATTCTAGTTTCTGTCATCTGTTAGCCCAGTTAAAATGTATGCTACAGATAAAGGAATGTTATAGATAAATTCGAAAGAGTTAGGTCTGTTTAGATGTAGGTTTTTTTTTTTTTTTTTTTTTTAAAGATTGATGCACTAAATTGTTTACTGTCGTGATGTAAAGGGGGGTAGAATTTGCAACGGGACTGTTTTAAAAAGTAGTTTATGCAGCATGTGCTTGCAACTTAAATATAAGTTGGGTATATGTAGTCCTTGCTATACCACTGACTGTATTTGAAAACCAAAGTATTAAAAGGGGGAGGCACCCCTGTTTATATCTATAGGGGTATTTTACATTCAAAATGTATGTGGGGGTTTTTTGATTTTTTTTTGTTTTTGTTTTTTTTTTTTTCAAAATTGAAGTATTTGGGACTGAATTGCACTAAGATATAACCTGCAAGCATATAATACAAAAAAAATTACAAACCTGTTTAGAACGCTAATACAATTTATGCAGTTACAAAGATGGCATTACTGCACAGTTTTAAAATGATGCAGATTTTTTTACAGTTGTATTGTGGTGCAGAACTGGATTTTCTGTAACTTCAAAAATTCCACAGTTTTAAAGGCAATAATCAGTAAATTTTATTTTCAGGGACTGATATCCTGTCTTTTAAAAAAAAAATGGAAAGTAAATCTTACCACAATAAATATAAAAAAATCTTGTCAGTTACTTTTTCTTTTACATATTTTGCTGTGCAAAATTGTTTTATATCTTGAGTTACTAACTAACCACGTGTGATGTTCCTATGTGCTTTTCTTTCATTTTCAACTCTATGGTTATATCAAAAGAGAGAATAATCTACAATAATAAACTGCATTTTTTTTTGATTCTGTACTCGGTTTCTTAGTGTGCAGTTTGGCGCGCGCTGCCTGCGGAGCAGGAGCAGCGCCCGGCCCGGCAGCGGGCACTGCCGAGGCGCGAGCTGGGCTCGCCGTGTGCCGCAGGGGAGCAGGACCAGGCTAGTTTTGTGCACAATGCAGAGTTGTCACCCGCTAGGAGTGCGTTCTCGCTCAGGCAGGGGAGCTTCCCGTGCTCGTGCTGACGTCTCGGGATGGCACTGGCCGTGGTTGCTGTGCGGGGATCACGCTGCCGGGCCCGGGGCGGTCTCGGCGGGGAGCTCCGCTCGCGGCCCGGCCGACACGGCGCGGCCTCGTGTTCTCGTGGCTTTCTGCTGGGCCGGAGGGAAGGGGAAGGCTTCACACCTTCTCGCCGCCTGACCCGGCGCAGGAGCTGTCACTGCGTCCGCCTCGGCACCGAGCCACGCAACGCTAGACCAGAGAGGGTCTTGCCGTTTGGGTGCACAGTGCCTCCTTTCCCGTGCTTCCCTGCTGCACCTCATCTTTTCTTTTTCTTTTTTTGCCCCATGATTTTCTTTGCTTTTCTGCCCTTTTTTTCTTTTTTTTCCTTGCTACAGGCCTTAGGAAGCCTAGCGTGAGCTGAGGAGCAGAGGAGGGAAAACCAGAATCCGAGGGACTTCCTCCAACTTTGGGAAGCTGCTTGCGCTAAGCAGCCGCCCCAGAGGTTCCATGCTGGAGACGTGGGGTCTCCCTGCGGCCCCCGCAAACGGGACCCTCCTCCTGGTCCCTCCTGGGCACTGGTGGCTTTAGGAAGATCCCAGCTGCAGAGGGGCCCCAGGACGGGCGGCACAGGCCGCGAGACGCCCTTTGGCATCTGACCTCCTGTTGCACCACGGCTTGAGTAATGGTTCAAGCTCCAGGTCCTGGTTAATTCGCGTCCCACTTTCTGGTTAATGTGTAATCGGTGGGTAAACGGGCTGCTATTGGCCCACAGGAGGGTTATCTCCGCTCGTAAAGATGGGGCTTCGCGCTTCCCGGCCTGCAGTTCCCTGCTCCGCCCGGCGAACCGAGCCGGCCCCGAGCCTGCTTTTCGAGGGGGATCACCCCCAGGCTCGGCTGCTGCTTTGGACGGAGCCCCAGTCTTTTGGGGGGAAGCTCTGTAACCCCGTGTGGCTCCCGGCACCGGGATTCCTCACAGCAAGCTTGAGAGCACTACTAGTGTTTTAAAAGCGCAGGGCATCTTCGGGGAGTGGCATGGAGCATGAGGAGCACTGCAGCCTCCCCTAAGTATCCTCTTTAGTGGGGGGGATGTATGAGCAGAGGTAAGAGAAATCCTTCCTAGAAATAGCATGCGAGAGGGAAGTTTCCCACTGCACACCCTACTCAGGAGGAGAGAAAAGGCTCGCCCGTCTCCTAGGTTTTTGTCATTGTTATACAGTGCAATCTCTTTTTGCAAATTAAAAAAATAATAATAATAATTATGGCTTGCTTTAGGCTGCATTTGAGTTTCAGCCTGAAACTTCCCAATTGAAGGAAAAAGGGCAAAAAGCAAAAGGAGCACGCTGTGGCGTTCGGCGCAGCAGAGTGGCTGTGGGGGCTCTCAGCCCGGCTGCTTGCGGCAGGTCCCACCTGGAAGCGCTCCGCTCCCACAGCCTCCTGACGCCAGCCCCATCCCGCTCCCGCTGAACCGGGAGGCAAGACCCCCGCGGGCTTTGAAGAGGAGCAGGATGCTGCTGCTCCTGCGTCTGCATCCGCTTCCCACGGCAGGAACCCTGCTCGGTCCAGGCGTTGCCCACCCCGAGGTGTGCGTGGTCTGAACCCCGGCAGCATCCTGGCCCCTTCTCATTTACTGAGTGCCCGCAAAGAGCTTCCATGTGCCGGGAGAGGAGCGAGCAGCGAGCGGCCCTTGGCTTGCGCCCCAGCTCCTCCCTAGCCCTGCGCACCCTCGTGCTCTGCCCTGGGCTCCTCTCCGGGTCTGAGGAGCTGCTGGACCGCACCGGGGGGAAGACAGGGAGAGGAATATCCATGTCCTGGCTGCCAGTTTTATCTCTCCATCAACTGCATGCTGCAGAAAGCCGGGCATCCCCCCTTACAAAAGCTACCATTTATTCAAAAGGCCTCTTCCCCCTTTTCAAACAAAAAGGCCCAAACAGAGTCAAAACGCGACTTGGAGGGTACCCGTTCCTCCCCCCCACCAAAACATGGCAGCAGATTTTAAGTTTAAAAAATGAACTTTCCCACCTCTTTTCTCCTTTCCTTTCTGAAAGCTTCTGTGCAGCTGTTTCCTCCCCCTCCCCCTGTGTAGTGTGTAGGAAGTTCTTGATCTAGAATCATTCATAATTTTAATACCAATTTCTATTTGACATAATATACTAATATCAGATACAGAGTGTAGCTGCTTCCTGGATTTAGGGAGGAAATGATGCATATATCAGAATTATCTGCTCAGATGCCAGAACTACATTGGTGTCATTTCAGTATGTGCTGCATTGAAAGGAAATCCTCTGTATTTATTACTCAGATCATCATAGGAGCTAAATGGACCCACTGTTTCTGACACCTGTTTGGATGGCTGAATTTAAAATTTCATGCAGGGGGGAAAAAAAAGAAAATAGAAGAAAAAAAGAAGCAGCCTGCACACTTCAACGCTAGGAACTGAGGTTTTTACCAAGTGTCTTCTCTCCCGCTCTGAAAACCTCTGCAAGCAGCGTGCAGTCGGTGCCTGCCGCACGGCTGGAGCATTCCAGGGGTAGCTATGGAGAGTGTGATATATTCTGTTTGCTTAGGCAGGACACAAAGCAATCCGGGGTGTAGGCGCACACATACTCGAGCTGTCTCTGGTCAAATACTTCAGCTCCGTCCCGGGCGCTCGCTGGGTGCCAGCACCACGCGGAGGGGAGCCCAGCTTGGCCACTTTGTGCTTTTAACACTCTTCCAATGAGTTTTTTTCTTTTTTCCTTTTTCCTTTTTTTTTTCCCGGGCACCGTAGCTACAAATCAATAGATTAAACTCCTGCACGCCGTGCCGCATTTAATTCTCGACTGCCTGAAATTGCGGGGGAGGATCGTGAATAGCGTTTGTCACTCCTCGAGGGGTGAGTGCATTCGCGTTTGTGAGCCCTAAACCAACACAGTGCAAAAAATAGTCCAGGCTACGACTGAACTTTTCAAATGAAGAGCTGAGAGGACAGGGACCGGCGCTCGGCTGGGCTGCCCGTGTGTAACTACAGCTCTGCCGTGCAGCCCCGCTATCTGCCACGCTATCGGGTTGACCCGGCACAGCACGGTAACGTCTACGTGCTCCCGATGCGAGCTGCTTCTATCTTATCTCTCATTGAAATGATCGTTTTCAGTGTTGCTGTACCCACTTAATTTTTTTTTTCTTTTTTTTTTATCTGTCTTTGAAACCCGGGCACTTCGTGACACAGCAGGGCAATGTGCAGGGATAGGGCTGGCCCTGCCTCGCTGGGTCTGTCCCCAGCCCTGTGGACTTGGTGACACGGTTCCCTTTGCTTTTTGTGTGCATCCCTGGGAGATGTCTCACAGAGAAGCAGTCCAAGCAGGGCCAGAAGTTTGCTAAAAGCAGGATTTCTGCAGCCCGCAGGAAAGATAAAGAAAAAAAAATAGAAAACGCACCTAAAGAACAACAAACTGAGCAGTATGTTTAAGTTTCCGGCGGGGTTAGATAATGGAGTGTCCTGGGTGCCTCTCAAGTGTTAATTCGTAGAAAAGCCCAGCCCTGTACAATGTTCTCGGTGGCTTTTCCCCCTGTGAAGCAAAAATGTTAATGACTGCGGACAGAGGCTGTGAGGCCCAACACCCCGCGCTGCTTCCCTCCCCTTCGGTTTTCAGCATGGAACAAGCGCCGGGCAGGCCTGAGCGGCCATGGGGACACTGGGAAGGCCGGGGTGGCCATGGGGGCACCGGGATCACGGGGTATCAACAGGGTCTGGCACATCCCGCTCCCCGCCTGATCTGGGGGAGCAGGGCTGGGACGTCCTGACCAAGATGCCACCTCTCTGGGGACCCCTGTCCCCGCGGTGCAGGAGCTGGAGCCAGGAGCAGCAGCCGCCCGGGGCCGTGGAGCAGGGCGGCCCCGGCCCAGCCCCGGGCCCACACCGGGTCCCAGGCCTGGCCTGGCCCGGCCCCACCGAGCTCTGTGGGCCGCTTCCCATGGGGGTTGTCTGCTTGTCCGTCCGGGTTCCCGGAGCTGTCCGTAGCTAAAGGATCCGTCCAGGCACCCGAGCCTGGCCTGTGTCACCCAGCGGCCTCCTCTTGACTGACCACCCTAGGTATGTCCAGAGAGCCTCTTCTGCTGATGCTTGGTTTGCAATCCCTCTTTCCTTTTTTCTCTTTTCTTTTCTTTTCTTTTCTTTTCTTTTCTTTTCTTTTCTTTTCTTTTCTTTTCTTTTCTTTTCTTTTCTTTTCTTTTCTTTTCTTTTCTTTTCTTTTCTTTTCTTTTCTTTTCTTTTCTTTTCTTTTCTTTTCTTTTCTTTCCCTTTTCCCTCTTCTCCTCTCTCACCTGTGCTCACCTGGAGTCTGCTCTAAAGCCCACAGAAATCAAAGGCCACACTTTTTAATGAGGCTTTGGATCAGGCCCCAAGGTATCTGCAGGGAGCAGGGCTGGGGGGGTGGGGAAGGGATTTACATTTCATGAATTTTAAACAAACTGAAGTGGCAAGAAGCGCCGAAGCTTTTCCAAGGTTGAGTTTCCCAAATCTATTTGGGTGTCTCTCTGAGCATGTGTATGCAGTTAAGCTTAATGCCCTTTCTAAAGGAAAGCAGGGAGATTCCCCCTTCCGCAGCCAGGAGCCGGCTGCCCCCGTGCTAAAACACCCATCCTGGGCCTGGCCTCGGTATCAGGATGCGAAGGGGATGGGGTAAGAATCAGTTTTGCTGGTATCAGCTTCCAAAGCCGCGCTGCTCTCGGCTGCAACAGCTCTGCTCCCTCCAGCATTTGGAGCTGTTGCAGTGAAACATAAGCAGTGATGAAAATTAGCTCACAAATAATGAGCTAAACAGGATCCAGCAGCTTCTTCGTGTTTTTTTTTTTTTCCCCAGAAACTTAACTGCTTCCAAATTCACTGATGAAAGCATGTTAGTATGTAGGAAGAGATGCTGGTGTCTGCAACGCGATTCACTGTTTTGTGGCATAGGGTGAACAGATTTTGCTTTCCATAAGGTTTCCTCCTGCAAAGTCATTGTAGAGGAGGAGATATTGCACCACCAAATCTGTTTAAAATACTATATTCATGTCCTACTAGATACAGTCTACAGACTGAGCACAGCCTTTCAGCTTCCTTCATTGTAAAATCCTTTTAAAATAGTACACAGTACAGAGCAGAAAAGTTATTAAAATAAAACTCCCTTGCACCAACTCTGTCAGATAAACTAAAGCAGAGTTATCAGCCTTCTTAAATTAATAAATCTGCTTAGTGTCTCTGGCTGCCTTGGTGCTGTCAGTTTCTTAGATTCTTTCCTTATTAATAAACTACAGCTAAATAAACCTGCTAGAGGGATCCACGCGCCTGGCCGATGCGAGCAGCCTCGGTGCCGTCTGCCGTGCCTGAGCTGCTGCGGTTTTGCTGTCCCCTCACAGGGCAGGAGTGATACAAGCTGGCGGTCCCAAAGTGTCCCTTTTGGGATGCTGCTGCATGGGACGAGGCGTGGGAACGCCTGCTCCCGGCCGAGGATGGGAGCGCGCTGTGCAAGCCCGGGTCACCTCCAGGAGAAGGACGCCAAAGGTCTCCCGGAGTCCTTTGCTTTAAGAGACCCCGGGCAGCACGCCAAGCACTGCGTTTAAAGCAGCTTTCCCTTCTCCAGAATCCCTGGGAGGGGAGCCGGGGTGTCCATGAGCGTCGGTGTGTGCGTCCGTCCGCACGCAGGGACGCGCCGGCCGAGCGTTTCGTGGGGAAAATGATGGAATGTCGACCCCCCCTGCAAGCAGCATTGTTTGGAGAGGCACGCGGGGAGTATTTAAATATGCCATACCTTCCCGTGCCGTGCCAAAAGGGCACTGTACATGCAGGAAGGATAATTTAGCTGGCACAAAATGCGCAGCGGGCTTCCTGAAAAGCTGCAGAGCTGTTCTGGAAGCGAAATGCTGAAAAAAAGAGCCCCATCAGTTTGTCTTGCTTCTTTTTATTAAAAAGATGAGACTTGTGTTTTATTCTTGCTCTGATTACGCCGTACTCTGACAATATATGGATGAAGTTGAAGCATTCCTTTTTTTTAGTTTATATAAAATATATGTGTACGTGTGTGTAGATATATATACACACACAGTGAGAGAAAGTTAAATATAAGGGACACAACAAAATACCCCTATTAAGGAAACATAGATTGACTCACTGACTTATCTCACTTATTGTACAAAGATTCATTCTAACTATGTTGAGTTTTTTAAATTAGATTTTAAATATATGTTGACAGTATGAATTTGTACAGTGTGAGTAACCGCAGGGAGAAATGACAGCTCTGCTTCTGTTATTAAACTACTGTCTGAAAAATAATGGAGTGTGCATGGAAATTGATTATTATTGTGCCAATTACATTAGCACCGCTAATAATAATCATTAAGAAAACATACAAAAAGCTACATGCTTTCGTGTCTTAGAAGGTGATAATCACTGCTGAGGCAAAAATACATGTTTTCTAAGGTAATTGATAAGTAAGAGTCTACTGTTATTAATGCTAAGGAAAGAGTAGAAGTGCAACGTAAAAATGCTTCATTTTAAATTGTGTTAAATTCTTCTGCACTCAGATGCAGCGTACCAGAGACCTTCTAAGCTTAATTCAGCATCTGAATTATAAAAAGTCCTGTTCTGTACAATAGTGGCACAACAGACATGTTTTCCAATGTTAAAAATTCCTTTTAATAATGGTTTATTTTAATATATTTACTAAATTAGGTACCCGAGAGAATCTTCTACAACGGTGATGTGAAAATCCCTGTCACCTGAGGCCAAAATAAAAAGGTATGTTTTGATTTTTGCGAGCAGCGTGCCCTGCTCCCGGGGTGCTCCCTGCTTCCGTGCGGGGCCGGGGTGGCCCCGGGGGACACGGCTGCCCTTCCCGGGGCTCTTCGGCTCCATCCCAATCCATGCATGTGCCAGCCCGGCAGCTGTCCCGGGTGCCACCGCTCCAACCTGATCCTTTGCAGGTGTTTTCTCTCTTTTGCTTCACATGCCAGTGGGCAGACACCAGCTATGGGGATTAAGGATGGGGCTTCAGGAGATATTGCTCATATCCCAGGGAAAATCGGGAGCCCGTGCTCCATAACCCCTGTATTTAATGTTTACAGTAGTGCCTAATTCAAAGCTCAGTTTTCCTCTTGAAATCCCTGTACTCTCAGTCTGTCAACACTGACAAAGTACATGCCATTAACGACAATACGGGATGCAACTTTTAGTCACTTCCCCTGCTTGATTCAAACAGGCGTTTGTCTTGTTTCTTTTTTTTTTTTTCCATAGAATCTGATTTTTATTGACCTCAACTGTAGAAGATACTAAGTGGTTTAAATGAGCTTCAAGGTCGCAGTGCTAGAGATGCCTGTGCCGCTCTTATTAAGAAACCTCCTCTCTTAGTAAGAACAGAGATTGCCGTACGGCTTACGCTGACAGGCCGGCCTGTTATAAAAAGCTCCCAGGCTTCACTCGCTCACAGAATTCAGGGTTTTTTTTCTTTTCTTTTCTTTTTTTTTTTTAATTTAAAATTTGATCAGGGTGCGGAAGAGATATCCAGTCCTCTATATATTAAGTAGCACTGGGAGGAGTTTTTGCCTACGGGAACGTTTTTGCCTGCTGTGCAGTTTTTTTACTATGTTACACCACTGTAAATGAGGTGGAAATCAGACCACTTGTTTTTTTGGGAGGGCTTAGCGTTTAATGTGCTTTTTATGAGAACAGAGACCTATTTTGATTAAGCTGAAGTAACTGCGTATTTTTGTTGCAAAAGTACGACACATACTCCATCACCTTGCTTTTAGTGGAACTGCTCTAATTTCAGTAATCCGAGAGGAAGCCTTGCCTGAGTCTTATAATTTATGTATGTAATTATTATATTTATATAAATTATATAAGTGATATAAATCTTTGCTATCCAAATATTAAAAAAGCAAACCCTTTCTCCGTGGCGTACCCTTGCGATCTCAGGGCTCTTCTAGCCTGCAGCTCCCTGAGACAGCTCATTGCTCCTTCTTTCCAATATTTTGTGGTTATGCTGTCACATATTATTGAGAAAAGCAACAGCAAAATTCGTTACTTTTAAGCAAATAGCTATTGGGTATTGGAAGAGTTAACGAACTTTTATGGCAAGGTTCAGACAGTTCTGACCCCTATGGTAATATTTCATCTAAGGTTACTGTTGGGAGAGAAATCAAATTTCAGCTGTGAACATGATTGACAGGTGAAAGCAAAAAAGAGAAAGACATCTGGTCAGAGGGGGAATTTGGGAAGGAGAAGGACAATTCAGGGAAGCGTCTCTGCGATATTAGGAATAATAAGCCTAGATATGAAAACTCCAATAGTTCATATTCCCTGAAGGTTGCTTCGTCGATATTCGTGGAGGCGGTTTGGTTAGGACAGCTCAAGCCTGTACTTTTATAGTAGTGGACAGTAGTCTCTATGGTCTAACTTACTAACATGACTCCTTGGAAGAAATTACAGTATTTCTGGCATTCTTTTAGCATTTTGAGGCAGTTCACTTAGTGTGTACAACTGAACTATTTGGTGGCTGTTGGTCAAGACACTCTCACCAAAACGTCTTCCTTGAGGAAACGTCTTCCAGGACTCGTGGATTGTGGGTGCTGCTCCATGGGTTTGGGGATTGTGGGGATTACTGGCAGTTGCTGGACTAAGCACAGCAGGGTGAAAATCGTGTTTATGATATATGCTGTTATAGCAATAGCAAAACTAGTTGCTATCTCATAGAATACCGCTACAATGAGGCTACATTGTAATATTTTATAAGGCAGCTATTAATTTCCAAGGGCCGTATATTGGCTTATTGCCTATGCAGGTCTCCCAGTAACTCGTTCCTCACGACACGTACATAACCCCAGCCGTGTGTGATACCTATTTTTACACCACGTGCGTGTATTTTGTTTGGTGCAGGAGAGCTTTTCCACCTTCCAGCATTAGGGGATTTTACAGTGTACCGAATACCTAATTATTTCGTGACATCGGTATGGTGTAGTTGGAAAGCAGAATTTGGTTCTGACATAAATAGCTATTGCCAGGCTCTCTTAAAAAATGAAATGCGAGGAAAAGAATTGGTTGCTTTTATCCCTTTTCTCCCCCATGTTTTAGTTTTTCCCCATGTTCCCCCCCGTTTTTTTTTTTAAACAGGGTTTTTGAAGGATTTGTGGGGTACTATAAGAGAAGTGAAGGACCCTGGAATCTAAACTTCATCTTAGCTGTACCTCAAGTAGGGAGGAAAGATCCTGGGCAGACTCCAGGCCC